CAGCATATAGAATAGTTTTCTATTTATAAATAGTGACCATTATTATTGCATATAAATGCTCACAATTAAAATATTTTGTTTGCTTAGTTTATGTTTAGATAACCAACAAGTATGCATACATTGAATAAAACGCATAGCTGCACGTTTGTCTAAGATGGGCCGTTGACAGATAACCTAGTTGAATAGAACGAATTAGGTACATCCGTGATGTAATGCCTGAATCAAACGAATCGAAAAAACTGTTCATATATACTTACTTCTTCAAGTGTTCCATAAATACTTGCAAACTTACATCATCCGTAAAGATAGCTTGTCCCTGCACGTTATAACCACCGGATATATGTGTCGTAGATGGATTCAATTTAGAAAGAAGAAATCTTGCTTGTGACCCGTGTTGGTCGCACACAATGTATCTGGGAATGGGGAACCTGTCCGCCAAAAGTTCCTATTTATGCGGGAAGAGAAGGGAGGGAGAAACAGTTAACAATCGTTTCTTGGTCACGATTATCTGTTACTTTCACGTACTTCTGAATCCGCTTTAGGAGCAGCCAACAATTCGGCAAAGTTCTCGTATCCAGGTTGATTTTGATATCCAGTCTTGCGCCATTGTGCAACTGTCTCACCATGGAAGATAAGAATATGGAAGAATGTATCGAGTAACAGGATGACATCTGGTTTAATTGAGACTGAGTCAAGGAGCACCGGCGTCGGTTGAGCATCCATGGAATATGACATTAGTGTCGGCTGGATCATAATTAGAGAATTGTTTACATCTTCACGGTTCAATACGTGACTATACGGAGAAATAACAGGTTAATTGTCAGTAAATCATGCTCGTTCTAGCAAAAACAGAAATGCTTTCCCATACCGGTAGAAAGCAGTCTCATCAGGACTGTTATTAAACACTTGTAAGAACTGACTTCTTCGCAAATGGAACATAAACTGTGGATATATCGAGAAATTATCCGATAATCTAAATGACGTAGGATCGTCCTTTCTATAATCCGCAAACTTTTGACATAGCCTGATCAACATTTTATCTAGCCATCTTAATACATCAGGCCCATCCTCGAGTTCAGCCTTAAATACAGCTATCCTTGCCATCAGTACAGCTGCAGCTTCCTGATCGAACGACTGAGCGATCAGGGGAGAGCTTCCCTCAGCAAAATTACGAGCTACGGTAGTGACACGTAATCGGAACTGACCGGATGAATGTTGGTAGTGAGTCACAAATTGAATTAATCCACGAGAATTAGGGGGGAGAGGTTGACCATGCTGCGCAACCACTTCGAAATATACTGCGGATGTAGTTTTCGGAGTTATCCCACATGTCTTCCAGGCCGATGTGTTGGCAATGCCTATTTCTGTCTCAGCCACTGAGGGGCTTTTCTTGTTTGCTGATATGGCATGACCGATCAGACCACATACACGGAGTTCTCTGGTCGTCTATTAAATAAAGTTGCAAAAATTCAAATGTTTAAGTCATCTGCTAACGAAACGTCATATTACCAAAGATACTATTAGCATCACCGAAGGCTCGTACCTGAACGTCCAGTGTCGCATTGTAAGCCATTTGCAGATTTCCCTGTGCATCTTTATTAAAAACTCTTTGAAAACTTTGCTTAAAGATAGCAGTCGTGAATGAATCAGAAAGAATCATAAATCCGCCAGTAGAGTTGACCATAGACTTCATCTCAAGCAATCCCACTTGATCAAGACACCCAGCAAAGATATCGACTATATGGCCGTTAGTTGCAGCACGCTTAGCGAGAGCATCGTAGAACTGACAAGGGGAGAACTATCAATAAGTCTGGTTCCAGTTGCTCGGTATAATATTTGATGTTTATGAATACCTTTACGGATCTCTTATAATATTTAATATTGTCTCTCTCAATGTCATGGTGAGACCTAATTGGCTCTTTTAATTCAATCCCGACAACCATACCAGGCCCCTCAGTCGCAGGTCCCCCGCAAAAGAGCATTATGCGACATCCTGTGTTTGGGTAAGTGCTCTGTTTACAAAATCGCCCCACTTATCAGATTTAGTAAATAGAAAAATATATTCGCTAAATAAAATGTAATATCTGACCTCCATCAAACCAATGGCCACACTCATGGCAACGCCGGTACATCTTCGCGGACGCTTATCGTTTGCAACTGGCCACGGATCTCGTTGCAGCTGTTCGAGAATTGAAGTCAAGGTAAATTCACATCGTTGTATCGGGAGAAGGAATCTGTTGTTTACGGATAATAAAATCGTTAAAGCGGGCTGCCTAACTATCGATACAGAATAAAATTTGACCATTGACATCCGATCTTCACAATCTGATTGACATTCTTGGCTCACATCAACGTGGAAACCAAAATTTCTATTCAAATATAGATCCTACTCAACCATTCATGCTCTCACCTATTAGCACCAAGATTCTGAGTTGAAGCTTGCTGCCCAGGTCTTGCTATTTGAGGGCGAATAGTGGGAGCAGCGAGACCAAGCATATCCTGAATTTGCTTCGATGTGTATTCTTTTGTACCGCGGAATACATAACTTTTGGGACATTCGCTATAACCTAATTCATGAACTTGAGTCTATAATCTTGTTAGCTGTCTCGCTCTCAAATATTTTGACAAAAAAAAAACAAAGCAAAGCGATTCTCCTTACAAGGAGACACCTTACCATAGTACCAAAGGTAATCAATCCAACTAGCGCGTGTGGAGGTAATAAACTCAAACTGACAACAAGTGAATCCTTCATGGCTTTCAAGTCTTCATCTTCGACACAAGTATCCACGACGAATAAAAAGATTGGGGGCACCTGGGCACCTCTCGGAAGAGTGTATTCTATAGTGGTGAACTTTGGGAGTAACTCGGCGGGAAGATTCGTATTTGATATATCCTTATAATGAGGTGGAAAAGCATTGCGCTGTAAGCAAAAGGGACAGATCCAGAGTTTCCCACGAACGTCGATTTGGCTGAATTTAAAC